AGGAAACTCTTCTCCGTCCAAAGGTTTGGCCTCCTGAAGACCGAGGCGACACCGGAGCTTCTCGAGATCTCCAGCCTCGAGATCATTGAGAGCCCTCGGCTCTAGCACGTTCTCCTGCGCCTCAGGCTAACCTGAGCAGGATAGAATATTATTGGCGCCAAATACCCAGACGAAAAACTTCTTCCATTCTTTGTCCAGCTCCGGGAGATCGGCGTCCAGGCAAAAATCGCCCCGACAGTGGAAGAAATAGTGGGGGTCTCCCTCAACAGACCCCACACTAACCACATGCCCGAGCAGGCTGATGCTGGGTACTACTACTGCCTTAGAGCAGGTGTCAATAAACGCCATCAAAATGTGGACGGCGTGTGGGTGAAATTAGCAGGGTGAAACCCCAGAGCTATGAAAACTTCCCTGATGAAGGGATGCAGCGGCAGGCGTAATCCATACTGCAGATGCGCCAAGTAGAGAGAAACCTGATCCTCGCTGTGCATATGCACCGGAGTCGAGCTGTCCGACGCCCCTATGGTCATCATCACACGGGAGATGTCATATCGATCATGCAACCAGCTCGCCTCGTCCAAAGTCATCCTCGATCTGGATAAAAATAGAACCATGAGTTTCCTCTCGCGGTCATTCTGAGGAAAAACCATACTAAAAACTCTTAAGTAGCTGATGGGAGGATCGACGAAGCAAAACGTTCTTAGTGCAGAGTGCCCCTTTCAACAGTTCCAGGAACTATTTATAAGCCTCCAAAGGCGCATACAGAAAAATTCAAGAGGCACCATCCTGGAGTAATTAAGGAAGATCCACTTTGGAGAGCGGAAACGAATCGCTCGGAAAAGCCAACCGCCACCTGCAACTCACAAATCAATTGGCAAGTATGGCACCTTTCACTCTACCCACGACGCATCTTTTCCTTCGAAAAAGCGGTTCCCAATACCGATCATCAGCTCACAGAGATTGGCGGTTAGCGAGACCTACGCCACGTCTCCAACCACGATCAATTAGCTAAGAAATCCCCAAGATATGGAGCAAGCTTGTATCTATTTCACTCGGACTCGACTAAAGTCAACTTCGAATAAAAGGGGCCAACTGTTATGGTAATTTATCATCCAAAGATAAAAATGTCGGGAGAATGTCTGCATAAGCCCAAGGGTGATATGGTCCAAACCAACTTAGAGGTTCAAAAACCCAATCAAGGCCAAGTCCCTCGACCGGACGAGCATACAAGTCATATTTCTATCAAGGGTCATCATGACCGACTCGAAGTACGGGATCAGTTGCCCTCTCCAATTAAGACAACTCCTCAAGTAGACGACTCGACTATACACCCGACCCGAAGCTCACTTGACTATCGGGTCGCCAAATCATAATGATGGCTCGCAGATCAACCGGCCCCGGCTAAAGGGATAAGAGCTGACCAAGTTCACTTCAGATGTCAATCGACACAACAATATTGGTCAGTCCCATCAAGATCTCTATTCTAACAAACCTCGTGCCCAAGCCGCTTATTCGGCTTACAAGTCATTTCCCAGAAGATTGCCATGATGCTTTCCTGTGCACGAATGACTTCTCCTCCAATCGCCAGCCGCCACCTGGAGAGAGAAGGACGGCCACGCAGCCAATCTATCCTGCGCCCTACCTCTTCTATCAAATCCAGGATACAAAGAAGCTGCTTCTCTCCTGTATTTGAATGACTTCCCTTCCAGTCGCCAGTCGACACCTGGAAGTAGAAGGATGACTCAGGACCCCTACTGCTCACATCTCAGCCGCCTTCTATGTATGACCAAAGCCAAGGGACAACACGCTCAAAGGCAATGGACTATAAAAGGAGGAGAAAGGAGGAACGTAGGGGGGTAAGTAATTCCTGGCTTAACTACTTGTTCTTGATAAAAACCCGGAACCTACCGTGGTTAAAAAAGAACTAGAAAACTCTCAAAAGAGTACGCTCCGAGGACCTCAATGGCCCGAGGACATTCCCCCAAACCCTACTCAAGCTCCATAGCTGACTTGACCGTCAGAGGTACCATGGGGGAAACTAGCCCCATACTTCCGCGATCTTTGTATGTGCAGGTCATCAGCCCACCCCGCGCGCTTAGAATTGGGCGTAATGTCGGAGGAGAAGTTGGCCCCAACATCCATCCTCTCCCTTCTCCTCAGCGCCGTCTAGATCGAAGCTGTACCCTACGGTGGACAACCCTCATCGACTGTTTGTTCACGAGCATCAATAGTTTCTAGGCCCAAAAGTTTATCCTGAACTATCTTTAAACCAAACATCTTTTGCTTGTATCTTTAAACCTAATCAGTTTTTTGTATTTATCTCTAGATCCAATTTCCCAAATACAATACATACATATATATATATGAGTCCCCTTTAAAAATTTTTACAAATTTAATTCTACCCTTTCCCAACCTCTCTCTATTCCTATATTGTCTCACATGTGTGCCACTTATCGAACTTAAAAAAAACTAAATTAAATGTGACTCTCTCTCTCTCTCTCTCTCTTCATTTCTCAATTAATTCCCCTCTCTCATCCATTATTTTATTTATTTTATTCTTTCCCTCATATAAACCCATCAATTAATTCTCAACCACTCTTATGAATTCATCAATTAATTCTAACTTTCAAATTATCCCTCTATACATATGTGTTTGGTATGATTGTGCACTTGCATATTACCACGCTATACTTTTATGTTATCACACTATACTTTCAGATTATCCCACTATACTTTCATATTATCCCACTATACTTTTAGAATATCACACTATACTTTTAAATTATCATCTATAGTTTCATATTATCCCACTTTACTTTCATATTATCCCACTATACTTTTAGAATATCACGCTATACTTTCAAATTATCATGCTATAGTTTCATATTATCCCGCTATACTTTGAAAATATCCCGCCATACTTTCACATTATCCCGCTATACTTTCAGAATATCACGCTATTCCGTTGGAATTTATCTTCATTTGTATCTATATGCTCTAGATGTTTTTAAGGTTTACTCTTATAATAACAGTTTTCAAAATCATTGATTGAATCTGTGGTTAAGTTCTCCCTTACTCTACTAGTTAACAAATTTACCTAATTTATATTCCAAGTAACAAAGAACCTATGTTTCTTCATAAAATTCAGTTTTCTTATCTGTGATTCGAGTCCAATTCATTTCCTTAGACTTACACAGATAAAATTGCTTGCTAGTTTTTATGTCCAATTCAAAGCCTAAACTATGTCTACCATGGCAAAACACAGCCAAACATGAACAACCTAACAACGCAAACCCTCGAGCAATTTTTCTCACTAAGGACCTCTCAAGTCTCCCTCTATCGGTTTGATAAGAAAAACATGAACTATAAGCAAGCATCAATCTGATTCTTAACTAGTGTTCACATAAACAAAATAAAGCATGACTAGAGAGATCGAAGAGATTTTCCCCTAAAAGATAAAAAGTGTACCTTTATTGATGTAGAAAGGTAGATCGCAAAGAAAAAAAAGCTCTGATACAAGCATGAATAAGAGACATCAAAATTTATGGGTTCCGGGTGGAGTATGGTCGCAAGGCTGAAACTTTAAGGAATTGGCAGAAACACATCACCAGGAGTGGAGCCTGCGGCTTAATTTGCCTCAACACAGGGAAACTTACCAAGTCCAGAAATAGTAAGGGATGACAGACTAAGAGCTCTTTTTGGATTCTATGAGTGGTGGTGCATGGTCGTTCTTAGTTGGTGGAGTGATTTGTCAGGTTAATTCCGCTAACGAACGCGACCTTAGCCTGCTAATTAGCTATGCGGAGGCATCCCTTCGCGACCAGCTTCTTAGAGGGACTATGGTCGCTTAGCTACGGAAGTTTGAGGCAATAACAGGTCTGTGATGCCCTTAGATATTCTAGGTGGCACACTGGCACGTGCGCTACACTTATGTACTCAATGAAGGTAATTTTTAAAAATTTCATCGTGTTGGGGATATATCATTGCAATTGTTGGACGTCAACGAGGAATTCCTAGTAAACGCAAGTCATCAGCAGACATTAACTATGTCCCTGCCCTTTGTGCCCTTTGTACACATTACTATATTATATACATAAAGAACTTGTTAATATACAAAACAAATTAAATATATTAACATTTGAAGATAATATATTAGAATCATAATATTATAATTAACTAAAAAATATTATATAATATTATAATACATTATACTATAGTGTATTGTGTTAAGTATATATTATATTATATTAATAATATGTTTAACATTAATATTATAAAGGATCAAACTAGTGTTGCTCACTATGGTGTTTTGAAAACACTTTCGGAGAAAAACACCATAGTTTGGCATTTTTATAGGAAAACACCACATAAAAAACACCATGGTATCCTAACATTCGCCTAGTTAACTGATAATTATTTGGTCAAATTCCAGCCCTACTTGATGTCCCTGTGGTTTCATGATCGAATTCACTATTTCACAATAGCAGCACGTCCTACATTAAATGGGTGGGCAAAGATGTATAGACTAAAGTTTCTCCATACAGTGCATACACTAAAAAGGCCAGTGATGAGGGATTAGACGAGGAAGAAGGGTGAAAGGAAACTACAAGGTGACATATTAAAGTGAATAAAACAGGTGCCCTGCACAGTTCCTCATGGGTACATCAACAATAACAACCAGTGAAGTAGCAAACTAATAGAAACGTATCCATTAGAATATGAACATAGACGATCGAGACACTAAAAACCACCAAACCTAGACATAGCAAAGGAAGAGTGAACCCACGGAAAAAAAAAACCCCCACCAAAACTAGACACATCAAATGAAGAGTGAAACCACAGGAAAGAGTAATCGTCTACCTACACGTAGTCAAGGACATTACATTCTCGTGGTACAATTATTCGTCATCAAGCGTGATAATTGTTCATTTATCTATACATCATATGCTTAGCCTTAATGAAAATTCAAGGAAGTATGCAGCCATTGACATAATGCAAAGTGAGACAGAAGTCTAAAATCGCATTTTTAACATGATATATAACAGACAACCCAAGATGTAACTTTTAAACAGATAAATGTGGGATACAAGAAAACAATATACTAATAACAAAACCTTCAACAGTAGAGTGGAAGGGTTGAACTGTTAAAAAAAATTAAAGGTTAAACTTCTTCGTGCTGTGTATAAATCAGAAAAAGATAAAGAGACGCCGAGGAGAATCCATAAACTGGAAGATCAAAAGAAACAGAAGGCAGCACCTCAATCAGCTGAAGCTTCATTGATATGGTACATGTATGCAAAACTTAAGCAAAGCTCGTGGTCCCTCTCATCACCCCACCCTCCCCAACCCTTGAATCCGGCTTGATAACCACCTGTCTTCTTAACCTCATGGACTGGCCAATTTGACTGAATATTTGGAATCTTATCTATCTCCTCAATTTCCATATTCACCTGACCATTATCAACGCAAGCACTTTTTTGGTTGTTCCCCTGATGCAACCCACACTTGCCAAAATGAGCAGCACTTCTCCTAGGCCCTCTAAGAGAGAATACATGACTCCCAAATGAAGGATAAACAGTAGCCCACATTGTTATATCCCAATTATACTCATCAAATGTGCAAAATTGTTTGGCCTTTGCATGGATCCTTCTCCAAACAGTCCTATTGAATGTATACCCAACATTCCCAATTTTCTCCGCAATCAAGCTTGCCCATCCTTCTCCCTTTGCACTCACATCAGACGGTGCCAAATTTGCAGCATAGCAATGGGGGCATTTCAAAGGCTTTAGTTGGGTGAGTAGCTGAATATTCCGATAAGCATTTGGAAAAATAAAGTGGTCCTCTTCTATGAAAAGAATGTGACCAATGTGCTTGTCTGTCTCGCTCAAACCGTCCCACACAGTATTCATCATCCACCACCAGTGATGTTTCAGAGACACAATCCTCGGAGACCGATGATTCCCATACTGATCAGGATTACCTCTACATTTCTTCTTCTGGGCATTATCTTTATCATGGCAATCATCCGGTGATACACCCGGAAAGCTATTCGAATACAAGTGCGGAGAGTAAGGAGCAAATATTTGCTTCACTTGGCAGAATCTGATCGTCTGAACAATCTTGTCCATCTCAGCAAAGTACCCATCATGGCTAACTATCAACAATGTCTCCCCAATACCTTTGACCTTCGACAAACTCTGGACGGCAATTTGAAGATACTGCGGCCGGTTGTGAACATAAAGAACAATCTTGATGTGGTCACTTGCTAAATTTGGGAAAAGATCTAAGTTCCTAGGTGGCAAATTGTTTCTTTGTTCCAAAGAGATTGAGAGATCAGTCTTTTTGGGAAACTTAGGCTTAAAATTCAAGTCTAATTTCACACGTCCGTGAACTTGCAAGGAGGAGGTTCTCTCTTCTTGTTGTCGCAGTTCCGCGGAAGCATAATAATAAGGAGAAATTTTTGAATTACTGAATAGGAAAATAAGAAACAAAACAAGTAAAAGGACCAACAGGGTCAAAGGAAGCACTCGCCGAAATCCTGCATCCTTCAATCGAGATCTACTACTTGGCTTATAAGAAGAAGCCATAGAATCTGATGTAAAATTATAAAGAGAAAGAAGAAGAACCCAGGTATCAAAATCGAGCCCTTCTTCTTCTAGAGGCAATCGGAGGTAAAAAGAAGCATGCCCATGTCGATAAATCCAAATTTTCAATAGAAATTAAAGTGAAGAAGGATTTCGCAGAAAAAAATTATTATTTTTAAAGGCAAACCTCAGTTCAGAATCGTAGGAGATTGAAGAAGAGGAAGATGCGCCGTCTGAAGCCCTGGATTTAGGGGGCGGTTTCGAGGGAGTGAAGCCAAGGGAACCACAACCCCAACTTTGGAATTTAAAAGAGAGTCTTTTTCTTCTCATAAAGTAATAGGCCATCGAAAATAAACAAGTGAGCTTCGTGCCTGCCTTCCCACGTCTCCGGGATCCGATCACCGCCCGTAGTTGGAGTCAACGGTAAACAAGGAAAGGTAAATGGATGGAGCCATGGTGCGAGGCAATTTAACTCCGTCAGCTCAGAAGTTCACTTAGAGGGATCGATAAATGTCTTACCGGTTGGTGACCACATGCTAAGATTTTTGTCTGTGATTCTCGGACTTTTCAAAAGAGAGAGAGTTGGGCTTCGCTTTTGGTAGCTCAGATCGGCGGGTCGTTAGTAGTGGTGGCAAATGGTTTAGAATTATCCGAACAGATCCGCATCCGTATTCAAAATGGACGTGGATATGGTAGGCAGAGTCTAATATCGGGTAGAGATGATTTCGGATACGGATAGAGTTTCGAATTAATTTTCGGATACTGATACAAATATAGATATTACTTCACAGTTCGGATACGGATATTCGTATTTTACATAATAGTATAAGATCATGGATTCGGGTCCTTTTATTTAGTACCCAAACCCACTTTGACCCAACCGAAAACCCAATTAGCCCCTTACCTATTCAGGTTTGTTTTTTGATTCTATGAATCTCACTTTACCATAATCAAAGAACCCCAAATGGATTTCACCGTTCGAAGAACACAAACTGATTTCCCGTGAAAATTCTCAAAATTTCGTATGTCCGGCATCCCAAAACTCCTGTCCGACATCTTCACTATATTTTCTCTTCTTTGAAGAAAATTGGCCATTTTAAGATCTTCCTTGCCCAAAAGGTCATCACCTCTAGCGGTCATCTTCAGTATCTCCAACGACCATCTCCATTATCTCTGGTGACCCTCATCCTCAGCAAGATAATCATCCTTCACAGTCATCCGCTACCTTTCATCAATAAGGTCGAATCGAAACCCTAATTTTACATTTGGCTTGCTTTGTAATTGTGTGATTATAGAGTTTTTGATTAGTCTTTTTTAATTCTATGAATGGAAATCATGTCTAGTCCGTCTGTTCAATCATCTAATGAAGAACGCACTATTGAACTTATTCTTGAACATATTGTCAAACCTATTCCCGAGGAATATTCTAGTTAAATTGATGATAAACTTGAGAAGAAAAAACATTACCATCTAAAGTGTGGTTAGATTTTGACAAAATAGATAAAACAGAAAAAAAGCAGTTGATGGAAAAGAGGTTGCAGCAAAAACTACGATAGCAAAATGTAAACAATGCTCGTTCGAATCTCATGGATGTAGTATTAGGGGTACATCACTCCTTAAAAACCATATTGCGACATGCCCAAAAAAAAGGCCTGATATCCATCAACAATTAGTACAAGCTACTATGAAAAATGATGATGGAACTTGCGCGCTTAGTAATTATCAATTTGATAATAAGGTTTTTCCATCAAGTATGTGCATTATTTTCGTCCAAACCACTGAAATTACCCTAGCGCGGGCCGGGGGGGGGCGGGTGGGGGGAAATTGATATTTTCTAATCTAATCTGATATTAATGCCAAATTAAAACTTATTAATAATTATTCTAGTAATTATGATATACAACAAATTATATGCAAGGATATGTAATTAAAAACAATGGCGATATAAACATGAGACAAAGACGATATAGAAATATGATAAGCAATGAGCACATGAATAATACGTCAAGTCAAACACAAACACACAATATGATGATGAAGTTCGGTCACCCTCGACCTACGTCTCCGCTCCTCACTCTCTAGAAGAATCTCCACTATCACAACTGGTTTTCAACATTCACCGAAAATGTTTACACAATCGGTTTTCTACCTTACCGAAAACTCTTACAACTCTCACACTTGTAACTACACAATATACACTCTAAGTGTTGGTCTAGCTCGTGTCACCTTCCTCAAGTACTCGGATTTACCACCTCTCCCTAGGCTTTACTACTAACATCACTCCTCTTGGAATTGACCCCGTCTCTCACCACACACTCCTCTCGGTGTACTTATGTATTACAATCTGTTCTCAATAATTAAGGCACAAATAAAAGTGTTTGTTCTCTAAACAAGATGAGAACTCAATTATGCTCACTCAATCACACCACAAACCCAAATTATACAATGTATGAAAGTACTTAAGCTCAATGGTTGTATGTGAGACAATAAGTAAATATGAAATCTAAACTCAAATTGATCTATCAAATATATATAAGATAAACAAATAATACAATTAAGTAAGATGGGGAGTTTAGAAAAACTTCTCTAATAACAAAGAGGATGAAGGATTGAGGTTGAGCTCTTCAAAGATGAAATTGAGATCCTCCACTTTGTAAAACTTTCTTCACATAAACAAACTTGAAACAAAAACTTAAACACCCTTAAAACACTTATAAAACTTGTTTAAAAATTTCTTGAGTATGTTCAGAAGATTGAGGGTAAGGGGTATATATAGGTTCATAAAACAAACCCCAAAAACCAAAGAAAAAGATAAAAACAACAAAATCTTAAAACAAGTCGTTACTATGCAACTACCATATTGTAAGTTGACTTATGACATGTATGAGTCGCTTATATAGTATAAGTCGACTTGTTATATTATGAATCGACTCAGCAGATAAAAAACACCATCTGCGTAACACTTTATAAGTCAACTTGGTACTGTAGTAAGTCGACTTAAAACAAGCACATGACCTGATATGAACAATAAACATCAACTTTAAACATTGTTTAAAAATATCAAACAAATTCCAAAAAATGTAAAACTTGGGAAAATTCTTATAAACATAAAAATAAACATGTCACAAAAAGAATTTTTTAAATTATATTTTCTATTTATGAAAACTCTTCATTTTGCAAAATATTCCAAAACACGAAGTTTCAAGAACACATGATTTTGATACAATGTTTTCAAACAAGTATGAAACTTCTCTTAAGTGGATTAATAGACTTTATAAAAGATGTAAAATAGTATAATCAAGTCTTTAATCCATAGATGTATTATTTTGCAAACATACAAAAGTATGAAAACAAAAAACATGATTTCATTGATTTGAATATGTTAACACTAGTAGAAATATGACCTTCAACTACGGGTTTATAGCGACAGGTTTTTCTGTCTATATAAGTCAACATATAACGATGGAATAGTCTTCGTTATATTTCCATCTGTGTACATCATTATAACGACATAAATTTTATTATTGACGACAAAATTTTCCATCGCCGTTATTTTCTCAGATGGAATATTTCCGTCGTTATATATCCGTCATTAAAATTTAAATGGAGATGGATTTTTTAGGTTTTGGCGACAAAATTTCTGTCACTAAAAAACTAAAAAATAAAATGGCGCGGGCTTGCCCAAAAAATTTAGGCACCGCCCGAACCGCCCTAGCTTCTCCCAAAACCTGTGTCGCCCTCTCTCTCTCCTCATCTCTCTCTCCGCATCTCTTCGTCCATCTCCCTCCCTCCGTCCCCTATCACTCTCGATCTCACCTTCCCTCTCTTCCCCGCCTCGATCTCCTGTGTGCCGACCCTACCGCCCCCAAAGAGCTGGCGTGGACCACACAGCGGACCGTCACATGACTCGTCGCGTCGATCCGACTTGCGCCCCCTCTCTCCTCTTCACAGGTGCATGATGAGCCTTTCTCCCCTCATCTCTCTTGTATCTCTCCCCCTCCAAACTCTCTTTTTCCCTTCTTCTCTCCTCAGTCGGCCCGACATTGCAAGCCAAGCGACAAGCCGCAGCGTCGGCCGACCGAGAGAGAAGCAGAGAGAAAGAGAGATGTAGGGGGAGAGAGAAATAGAGTTTTTTTTATTTTTGAATTTATTAATTTTAATTTTTAATTATAATTAGTTTATTTTTTGCAAAATAAAAATTTATGAAAAAACCTAAACCCTAATAAAATATTACAAATCAAATTTTTTCATTTTGATAAAATTATAACATAAAAAATAAAATTTTGTTAGGGTTCGGGTTAGACGAAGGTTAGGGTTAGGGTTGGGTGAGGATGAGGGTGAGGGTGAGGGTTAGGGTTAGGGTTAGGGTTAGGGTGAGGGTGAGGGTAAGGGTAAGGGTTATTACGAGGGTGAGGGTGGGGGGGTGGGAGGGTGAGAGTGAGGGTTAAGGTTAGGGTTAGGGTTAGGGTGAGGGTTAAAATTACTCTAGAGTGGGGTGAATATGATAAATTGTTAATCTAATCCGATATTAATGCCAATTAAAACTTATTAACAAATATATCCTAGAAAGATTGATATATAATGAATTATTTGCAAGGATATGTAAACTAAGGTCAAATAAACATTAAATGATATAAACAAGATAGTGGACAAATGAGCAATCCAAACACAAGAAATATGATCACGGAGTTTAGTTCTTCCGACCTACGTCTCTGCTCCCCACTCTCGGGGAGAATCCACTATCACAACAGGTTTTTAACATTCACCCAAAACATTTACACCTCATAATTTTGGTTTTTTATCCCACCGAAAACTTTCAAAACTTACACTCTTGTAATCACACTTTACACCCTCTAAGTGTTGGTCTCTAGTACTGCCGCCTTCCTCAAGTATTCGTATTTATAACCTGCTTTACAACCAATGCCACTCATCTTGGAATCGGCCTCGTCTCTCACCACATACTCTTCTCGGTGTAAAAGTGTATAACAAAGTGATCTCACAAATAAAGCACAAATATAAGGTTTGCTCTATACAATGGATGAGAACTTTATGTAAGCTCACTCTCAATGAATACAATCTCACAACCCCAAATATACTATGTATGAAATATTTTTTTTTGAAAAGACGTATGAAATACTTAAGCTTAAGTGAGTGTGTGTAATTAATGAGAAAATATAAGATGCAAACTCAAAAAGTAATCTAGCCTAAGAAATTATGATCAAACAAATATAAATAAAGCTAGAGATGAGTTTAGCATAAACTTCTCTGAAAATTAAGAGAGAGAGAGAGAGAGAGAGAGAGAGAGAGAGAGAGAGAGAGAGAGAGAGAGAGAGATGAGATGAAAGCCCAAACACAAAATGATAATCTCTTCTTCCTCTTGTGAAAACTTCTTCACAAACAAACTTAAAAACACTTGAAAACTCTTAAACAAACTTATCCAAAACTTGATTTAAATTTTTCTAAGTTCACTCAGAAGTAATGAGGCATGGGGTATTTATAGGATCACAAGACAAATCACAAAAACCAAGGAA